CAAATTAAGGTTGTCAGTCAAGGTGTGTTTTTCTGGTTTAGTCTCTGATCTAGGAGTTTTTAGCATCTCTTGCAAAATGCACCGAAGACAGACAGCCAGGGAGCTCTTAGGGCTTGTTTTGCCGTGTGTTTACCCTGGCAAACAACCAGCCGATACCTTTTGCGAAGGCTTCTATGTCGCACTGGATACCTCATGGCTTAGTGAGGAAACAAGCTGTATGTACTGTTTTGACATATTTTTGCACTTTTCACATTCTTTATTTTGCAGCATGTGCCCAGCATTTTAATACACTGAGTAACTGTGGCAACTTCCTTTGTGTGTCTACAAACATTTGCATTATTGTTAAGCCATTGAGTCTGCTGATGAGGGGCAGGAGTAAGATGCAGAATGATGTATTTACTACATAGGATTTCCGGCAGAGATGAATAGTAGATTCATGGTGGGCTGGAAGTAGATAACCAGCCCAAAGAGTCCTCAAAAGATCCCAGCCTCCCCTGCCCCAGAAATGGATCTGCAGCCCAGAGCAGGGTGGGATCCTCCGTCAGTGTCCTGTAAGGAAAATGCTTGAAATAAGTCAGAAACAAGCAGGAAAACAGGCAGAAGGGAAAAAAAAAATGCATCCTGCTCCCATCGATGTCTCTACTTAAGTTTCTCCAGCCAAATGATCCAAGGAACCACTGGAACGAAACAATGCCGTAGAAGAGTGTCGGCAGGGAGGTGACCACGGGTTGAGTTTGCAGAGGTGTATAGGGGGTTAAACCACAGGCTGTAGCTCAGGGCGGTGTAATGGGGTGGCGAAGGTGGACGCGGACTGGGACTCTGCTGGCGCAGCGTGGGTAACGGGGTGGTGGGAGGGAGGTGGAAGTGCTAACAGCCGCCCCTGGGCATAAGGAGCAAGGCGGGGGCAGCGTCGGCTCTTGGACGAGAGGTGCGGGCAAACCTTGTTGCTGTGTTTGTGGTGAGAGGAAGAAGAACAAATGACAAGTTTGTCGGTACATCAGAGAGCATGCAGGCAGTGCGATATGTTGGGTTATTGTGTGTTCGGCACTGTCAGTTGTATTTTATCTCAAATGTACTTTTCTGAAGAATTGGGTTGAACCTTGTGGAGAGAAAAAGGTAGAGAAGGAGAAAAAGATTATTTTCCCTACTTTCTGAACCCAAAAGAATACTTAATACAGTTTCCCATTCACTTCCATTTTATTTTCGTCAATCCCAAGAGTACAATATATTGATTTCTTTAATATTATTTATCTGCAGAGATGCGAAACTGCGTTTTTGTGTATTATACTTCAGAAATGTGGCGTGTCTCATACTTAGAGTGTTATAATCAGATGTGGTTGTTTATTACACACTGAAATTCTAACTCTGTGACAGTTTATGAGAATATTACTTCACTACATAATTATTTTTATTGTGATGAAGGTGTCCTGTTGATCTAGACTTCCACTTGCTCATGTGCATCAGAATTCTTAATTTTGTGTCATGATAACATGAAAGTATGAGAAGTGCAAGATTTTGTCTTTTCTGTTATAATTTCTAATTGTTTAAGGATTTTTTAACGCTTTAGTTAAACATGTGCGTGATTGAAGGAAGCTGGCATCATCACCAAGCTTGCAACAGAGGAAACACTTTTTAAATGTTTGGTGTGTAAAAGATGTCAGTGTTGTTACCTTTGTGAACAGAAGATGATGGGGAGAAAATCTGCAGAATTTTCAGCAAAAGGGAGTAATTTTTTCAGCTCACTTCTTAATGGAAGAAGAATTATGGAAATGAGAGCAGGCATTGCATTAAGTGCTTGAAATGTTCCTTCCCTGCAGACCAATAAAAACATAACTCTTCCATTAGGGAAATTTAGTTTTTTTGAAGGCTGCGTGAGTCTGAGCTCTGAATCAGTGAATGAGATGACTATGCTGGGGTAAGCGTTTCAAGGTCTGATTATGTATTTTAGGCCTTTCGTAGGTCTATACCAGCTCTTCGCTTGTCTTGTAAGACTTCTTCAGAGCAACTTTTTCTGTAGCTCTTTTTATATTAACCACTTGGCTTATCTTGTCGTACTTCTGTAGTGCAATCCCCTGTTATGCAGATCAATAACCAGTTTTAAAAGCCATGGGGATTTAATGACTTTTCATACCTGGATACGTACTAGAAGGTTTTCTGGCCTTTTCAAAACATTCTAGCTACATGCATAACTCCATATACAAAAGTCAAATAGTGAAAGTCAAAATTGTGACCTTTGTGTGCTTCATATGGCATGTTTATAGTGGTTATAGTCTCACCTTCAACTGTAGATTATGCAGATTGTAACTATCTGCCTTTAAAATATCCTTCATCTGTAAGCGCAAGATGAAAACGTAGCAGTAAACTGCTATCGCTGGGGATGTTCAAATTAGGTCTCTGATCAGGGCTGGGGAGAATTAATATCAGATCAAGTGGCTGTTCAAGTGAAGCCATCTTTTTTCCTGTGCTGTTAACCATAAAATAGTAATCAACATTAATTTCTAGGTTCTAGAAGATCACAAATAAAAATTAATAAAAAAGAGCAAAATCGTTACCAGTCATTATCACTGCTCCTTCCTTCTCACTTTTAATCATATTTCACTTTCATATACTACACTACCTGTCAAACACATTGCAGAGGTATCTAAGGATGATTTGTCCTCATTTAGTGTATGAGGAGACAGAGACCCCAAGAGCTTCTGAAACTTGTCCAAGGTCTGGAAATGATTAAGTGGAATTCTTTCTCTTTACTATTTTTATTTAGTTGGAAATAGTCTGAACATAGCCATAAGGGTCTAGTTATAATTGATCAAATAAATCCCATTTCCCCCTTTTTATGCTGAAGGGCTCATCCCAGGGGTGCATGCAGCACAAATACTTAAGGCAACAAATGTGATTACTGTGAATGTTTGATCACACGTGGGGCTGGTTTTCGTTTAGTTTTTTGAGTTTTGTGTTCTGCAAACACTGCTGGGAATTGTTTGCCCATCACTAGAAGTGTTCCTTGAAGTTCCAGTCCATCACAAGACTCCCATGAGTGCATTCCTGTGTTCCTGTTATGTTTTATATGCAGACAATCCAGTCCTGCCGTGATCCAGAAAAATGGCATCTGTGCAAATACTAGTTATGTTCCTTATAAATTCAGGAGGCAAGGAGAACATGTCTGACGTACACGATCCTCTGTCCCCATCATTATTCATTCATAATGGAAAGGTTTTAAAACACTGGAAAAAGACTTTTGGTGGAGGAAACACATGGACAGCAGCCCTGAGGAGAAGGACTTGGGGGTACTGGTGGATGAAAAACTGAACATGAGCCGGCCGTGTGCGCTGGCAGCCCAGAAAGCCAACCGTATCCTGGGCTGTATCCAGAGAAGTGTGGCCAGCAGGTCGAGGGAGGGGATTCTGCCCTTCTACTCTGCTCTGGTGAGACCCCACCTGGAGTGCTGCGTCCAGCTGTGGAGCCCTCAATATCAGAAGGATATTGACCACTTGGAGCGAGTCCAGAGGAGGCCACGAAGATGCTCAGAGGGCGGGAGCCCCTCTGCCATGGGGACAGGCTGGGAGAGGTGGGCTTGTTCAGCCTGGAGAAGAGAAGGCTCCGGGGAGACCTTATAGCACCTTCCAGTACCTGAAGGGGCTACAAGGAAGCTGGGGGGGACTTTTTACGAGGGCCTGTAGTGACAGGACAAGGGGTAACGGGTTTAAATTGAAAGTGGGGAGGTGTAGATTGGATATCAGGAAGAAGTTCTTCCCGGAGAGGGTGGGGAGCACTGGGACAGGTTACCCAGAGAAGCTGTGGATGCCCCATCCCTGGGAGTGTCCAAGGCCAGGCTGGATGAGGCTTGGAGCAACCTGGTCTAGTGGAATGTGTCCCTGCCCATGGCAGGGGGGTTGGAACTGGATGATCTTTAAGGTCCCTTCCAGCCAAAACCATTCTATGGTTCTATAACATTTTCAACTCCCTGCTGATGTTCTTGCTATTTTATCCTCTCTACAAATGTTGTGGTTTAGTCAGTTGATGAATTTAATCAGCTGCCTGCTTTAGACATTATGAAGAGATGCTGGCAGTGAATTTCTACCTCGTACATTCGACTTTTGGCTGATTTCAGTTGGGGTCACCCTGTGCTAGTGCTGTAGGTGGCTAATAGCTCCTGAGAAACCAACCTTGTAGACTGTGGCTGCCTGTAGAAAACACAAGTTCCCGGGTGTCTTGGATGTGTTTGCACACAGAAGGAGCCAGATGGTTTTCTCTGTGGGTCTCCTTTGGCTCCGCTCTGCAGGAGGAATACCTGAGATGGATAGGTATTTCCTATCTGCTGCCAGGTAGCTGTGTGGCTCCTCTGTGCTAACAGCTGCTCTAACTCTTCTCTCAGAGGTGTATTTAAAGCATAAAAATGAAAACTGGGTAGAAGTCGGTGTGGTCAAGTGGGGAGTGGGGAAAACTTCATGTCTTGTGTATCTCCAGACTTGATGGGACGGGTCTGGTCCCAAGCTGGCATCCCACTGGAATGTTATGGTGGTACATGCAGGATGGTTCCCAAGTGCTTTGATGCCAAAGGCACTTTCCTACCTGTTAAGGTTCTCTCGTTCACAGCCCTTAGGCATTGCTCGCTCTTGTGGCTGTGGCAGGCGGACACGGTCACCCCCTGGAGCCGTCTGAGGCACTGTGTAATAATGCAGTTTTGACTAAACGCACTGCTGCAGTCAGCCACCCCCCAAAACACCATGGCCTTGGGGAAGCTTAGGTCAGGTCCCATATCACCTGCACATCTCAAAATAACAGATTGGTTGTCTTACACTTGCATTAAAGCCATCCCTAAACCATGGCTAGTCTCTGGGACAGTATCTGGGTCAGACAGAGGTGTGGGCTCTGGTTTTATCCAGGACAACAAAAATTAATGCAGGGTAGCCTGCACCTCAGCCACCCGCCCAACCCTGGGGCCATGAGCAGCAGCCATCCCCTCCCCGTCTCATGTGCTTGCTCTCGCCGTCTCGTTCCAGGGCAACCCACTGTACTTCCAGTCTGCCAGAAACGTGACAGTGAACATCCTCAACGAGAAGACTAAAGTCCTTTCTCGCCTTGTAACAGGTAAGGAGGGGGAACAGCTGCGTGGAAGAAGGAAGCAGGGATGAAAGCGGGTGTGTTATGGGATGCAGTGCTGGCTTCAGACAGCACGCAGGAGTGCCCAGGTGTCTTGTGAAGTACAAATGAAAACTTCGCTCCACTTTGTAGAAACAAAGCTAGAGACATGAAAGCTGTGCTGCAGAGGCAGCTGGCTGGTGCTTTTGATAATGAAACAGACCATTTTCCTTTGAAAGCCAGTCCGGAGACAGAAAGGTTAGTTGTATGACTTTAGGGTCAGTGTTGTGTTTAACCCCAGGTGGCAGCTGAGCCCCACACAGCCGCTCGCTCACTCCCCCCCCCTGGTGGGATGGGGGAGAGAATCAAAGAGTAAAAGTGAGAAAACTCGTGGGTTGAGATAAAGACAGTTTAATAAGTAAAGCAAAAGCCACACGCACAAGCAAAGCAAAACACTCCCCACTTCCCATGGGCAGGCAGGTGTTCAGCCATCCCCAGGAGAGCAGGGCTCCATCACACGTAGCAGTTACTTGGGAAGACAAACACTGTCCTTCCTTCTTCCCCCAGCTTTATGTGCTGAGTATGATGTCATATGGTATGGAATATCCCTTTAGTCAGTTGGGGTCAGCTGTCCTGACTGTGTCCCCTCCCAAATTCTTGTGAAAAATCTTTATGCATTATATGTGGTAATATATACTATATATATGATGTAGGATAGATATTTATTTATTGAGATTTATCTAGGGATGGGGAGAAGCATTGCTGTGTGGCAGAGCCAGTAATCCATAAATACGTTGTTTCTACATGAGACTGGGTTGTTTGGTTTGCTTATATAACATCTTGGCCTCTAGTCACAGTATTAAATAATTAAATATGCAGCTTCAGTAAGCAATGATTTAAGCAGCACGCATGAAAATTGCCTGGAGGAAGGAAATAAATTCAACCCCAAGCTCCCCAATTCTCACATTCAGAATTAACATCCTTAGTCTGTTGGCTCTCCATATATTTTCAAGAGGGTATCTGGTTCACTTAAACACCTCTGTTTCATCATTCCTGGGAGGACGCAGTCAGTGACGTCTCCCAGTGTGATATTCTGGTTACTGCGCTTGCTTCTGTGTTCAGCCACAGCTTTGGTTTCCGAGAGGAGCAAAGTCGTGGTCCCATGTAGTGTTTGCTGCAATGATGGGTAAGGAGGCAGTTAATCAGCAAGATACAAATCAAACTTCTGTCTTGAAAGTACTGGATTTTCTGAGTGGCTGCAGGACTTTTAAGTGTTTCCAGGAACCTTGGCATAGCCTCACTTTTCTCTAGTCCAAACCATGCACGTGTTTCTTTGTGTGTCCTGATGCCACTACAGATGACCTGTGGAGGCAAACCTGTGTATGGATGGACTTAGAAACTGCTAATAAGAAAATGCTGTCTGTCAGCTCTGCTTTCTCTTGCCTTTTGAGAAATGAGCCTAGTCAGGAAGATGGCCAGAAGTCATGGGAAGTCCGATCAGCTGCAGTACCATGTTCCAGGGTGGCTGTGGCTGAGACTGGGTTGCGCAAGGCTGTTAGATGGTGGTTTGTCCAAAGTTTACCTTAGGTTGGGTAACCGAGGGGTCTGCTCATTGCAGCTTTTGAGCCACAGGCCTGCACAGAATTGCTCTTCAGACAGCTGATGTTTATCAGGTTCCCCAACAAAGCACATTGCCAGAGGCTTTCCAGCACTGCCCTGCACAGCAGCCTGCAGGAGAAGCAGAACTGAAGTAAGAGCTATGAAGGAAGGTTTTGCACATCTAAAACCTTTCTGAAACGGGGGAGACTGCTGTTTGTCTTGGCTTGCACATGATTGAAATGGTCTAAAAGAAAACATTTTCTCCTGTGGTGATGTTAGTCTCTGGTATTTTTTTCAAATTGCACTGTGCATGACATCGATATCATTTTAATCAGGGTATATTTAAGAGTCAGAAACCCAGAAATCTTTTATACTGCAGCATCAGTCCAAAGAAAATGTACTCAGGAACACCTGATGCCTCTTACAGCTGCACCAATACTCTCAAAGCATGGCTGGGTATGTGCATTGCTATTTCACGTGTGCATCTGTCTTCTCATTAAAATTTCCCAGCCATCCCAGGTTTAATGGTGATTTTATGACACACATAAGCATTAACAAAAACGTAAGTAGAAACAGTTGAAGGGTTGTTACTTTGGTAGAAAACTGCCCTTTTCTAATGAGAGGTCACCCTCTGAAAAGCACAGACCTCCCTCTTTGATGTGTCAGATACAGGTTGTATCTGCAGATCTGTTAGGAGAATCTCAGCAGATGGGTTTATTAAATGTATGAAGCTGCTGGGTGATTTTCTTATACTTTTCACTAAAAGGTTGTGCTAAATCTCTTCTTCTCTCTAGGTCCCCAAGCAGTGGAAGCACACAGCCAAAAATTTGAGGTGAAAACCCTCTCTGGAAAATTGCTGTTTTCTGCAGATGACAACGAAGTGGTGGTTGGAGCAGAGAGATTGAGAGTTTTAGGTAAAAGATCGTTTACTAAATCACTGGTTTAATATGTGCCATTTCAAACTTCAGAGTAGTTTTGCCTGACTTTCCTTTGTGCTTTCAGAAAGCTTCTTTTGGAGATAAAGCCTTTTGCTGTCTTCATTGCTTTGAATCTTCCCCAAGCAGATAATGGCCAGGAGTTTCTGTCTGTGGGGTTTCTTAACTTGCACAACGTGTTACTTCCCCTTCAGAAAAAAAATCCCCTGGAAGTGGTTTGTCTGGCTCACTGAAGTGACTTTAACACCTGCTTTGGAAACTGAAGAGGTTTATCTCTTGGTTCTGGGATGAAGGACAGTGAGGGATCTCTGTAAGGATACTTCCATGGTTGCAGTCACTGTGCGTACGGAAACCTCAGGCTTCGTGGTTTTGATCCCACCACTTTCACCGGCTCCTTTCATTCTAAAGCAAACACCAGGGAGGAGACCTGCAGTGAAAACACCAGCATGTATTGGGACCCCGCATGAATTCTCTGAATAGTTTGGTGGCCATTATACTAGTTATCTTTCCTTAAGCAGGTGTGCAAGCACGTTGTGTACCTCTGAGCCCTCGCCAGGTATGTTGCGAGTGGGTTGATGCCCCGTGTGCGGAAGGAGAGTCCAACTTCACTGATGCCACTGCTCCCTGTCCGCCTTTCGAGAAAGACGGGGCAGCTTGAGCTCTGCTTTTGCCTGTGCAGGATCTGCCCCCCTATCTGTCCTGCCTGCTAGGCTTTACATTGGTAGTTCCTGGTGAAAGCTGGGGATATGCTTTGGGTTTGGGGAGTGGAGCTTGGCTATTGTGTGATTTGGTTTGGGTTTTTTTTTAATTAGAGAAAAGAAACAGTTATGGTAATTGTAAAATTTTCAGATGTATTTGATAGTTAGAGGAAATTACCTCTTAGTAACTTGAATTCTCTTGGTCTCCAGTTCATTGTCTTTGGTTAGTCTAAGATTTGTTTGCAAATGTTTTCATGTAGGACCAGTCTGGGTAACTTGATATTGCTAGCAGTTAGTGGCAGAACTGGGCCACTGGTCTCTGGAAGCACTGATGCCTGTTTTTTAATTGCTTGGTTTGGATGCATCTGTTTGCTCCAAATGCTTCCTTACTTCTCCAGTCAGCTCCTAAACACAGGGATCAGTGAAGGAGCTTTGAATGGTGTTGAGTATTTTTATTTATTATTCCTTAATACAGACGATACAGCATATTATTACTAGATTATGTATAACCTAAAGGAGCTTGAAATGAGGGACTTAGACTATAACCATCACGACTGGGACTTTGTATCCAACCATTAACATTTTTCATTACTTGATGTCGTGATATTCTAGCTGGTTCCTGTTTGTAGAAAGGCCAGGTGACTCTTTGCAAGTCACTGTTGGTACGTACTCGACTAGTGCTGTCACCAGCTGTGCAAAGTTAGGCAAGTTTTATAGGATAGATGTTGACTGTCACAAAAATAACAGTATCTTTCTTGTAGCTTAAAACTTTGAGAAGGACCATTCAAAGTTCTTGTGGTGTTACAGAGCTGGGGAGCATTTGTCACAATCCATGTTCTACCACAAACCCCCCTTCCCACTGTACCCTTCAGAGCTAACCAATTGTATGGTCTTTGTGCAGGGTAGATGAAGTCAGGAAGGAACAGTTTTTAAGTGTTTTCTGAGAGACCTTAAAATGAGAGATTTACATCCTTGGTTCTTCAAAAATGAGAGATTTATATCCTTGGTTCTTCATAAAGAGAAACTTTTTGTTACAAGTTACAAGTACTCCTTTTTAGCTTAGATACTCACCAAAATAATGCTTTTATTTACTTTGTACTTTGGAGAAACCAGCAATTATTTGTTGATAGTTATTTTGAGTTTCGGCCTTGTTTTAGTCTCCAGAATAATCAGCATCAAAAATACTGCAAACGACTGTAGCGCACTTTCATTTCTGTCTGCAGCTGAGTGTTTCTGAGGGTTTCATTGGCTTATGCAGATCTGTCCAGAAAGAAAAGGTAGAGCGATACCACTGGTGATGTCACATGGCGAGTATTTCCATGACCTTGAGCTGAAATGCTTTCAGAGTTCATGCTTGGCTTTGTTTCTCTCCAGCGTTGCTTCCCCAATCTAATTTTATCTCCAGAAGTGGTTGCCATGGCTGTTTGCCGTGCTGGGAAGTGTTATACCATATGTTCCTATTTCTTCCAGTGTTTTTGTCTGCACTTGAGGCTAGTCCAGCTTGTAGGACACAGACAAATTCCTTTGATTGTTTTTCTGGCGTTTGGGATCTCGGGTGCGGTCGGTTTGTGTCTGCTGACACCTACCTCTGCCATGTAAATCATCTCGACGTGTTCTTGGTGCTGAAGATGTGCTTGTTGTAGAGGGAAGTGTGTGGCTGCAGTCTGGCGTGGGAGTCATCTCACAGAGGCTAGAGCAGCAGTTCCTGGGCTTGTGGCTAGCTTTTAATCTTGTTAATGATAATTACTTTTTTTCTTCCTATGCTCTTCAAAGTTGATTCTGAAAGTTTGTTCTACAAAGTAATGCTGGAGCTTTGTCATGAGAAAAGAGGCACTTTCCTTTTTTGAAATGGACTGCTCTGGGTAGCTAAAGGATTTTTCAGCATTAGCAAGGCATTAAAAAGAGAGGAATACACAGAATTATGGATAAAAAGTACAAGTAGGACATGTGCTGCATTTGATGGTGCTTCAAAAAATTGCACAGCATGGTAGTGCAGATTACTAGATGAAAGTGCTTTTTATTTTAATTGTGTTTGGGGGGGTTATTTCTGATTTTTAACCACTAAAGGAGACAGAAAGACGGAGTTGGTCCCCCCTGCTTTTTATGCATGTTGTAATTTAGAGTACTTCAGTGATTTTATTTACTTTAGTGAATCCAGTCAAACCTGTCGGCACAGGAGAGGTTGGAGGATGACAGGAACTTCATCCGAGGCCAAGGGCAGCCCTCTGAGCCCTTTGGCCATGCTCAGCTCTGGTGGCATCTCCACAGCCTTTTCCAGTTACAGGCACAAGGTCCCTCTGCCTTGCTCTGAGCCCAGCGGGAGGTCGGCAGCTGCATGGGTTCAGATGACTCGGGAGGAGCTCGTGTTTGCCTGCAAGAAGTCAGGTAGAAACAAGAGCCTGATGCCAGATCTAGTCTGCCCGTTTTCTTCCAAGCTCAAATGCTAGCGCCTGCAGTTTCCCAGCCATCACTCTTGTGGAGGCACATCCTTGCTCTTAGCACCACTTTCTTTTACAAGCTTCACTCCTTGAAAGATACTGCAGCAAAGCTCAGAGCCATTCTCATTCCCCAGAACCACAGCTCTCTGGTTTTCCAAGGCTTAGAGTTTGAAGGCAGAACCTGCCTCCTCCCTACCCCTCAAATGGCACTGTGGTGCTGCTCGTGGGGTAGTACATGGGGTGAAATACCTGAGCTGAGCCTGCAAACCTTCCCCGCACTCGCCAGTGCCACGGTCAGCAGTGCGCTTGGGCAGACACCGCACAGATGCCAGCGCATGCCTTGCGGGATGTCCCCCCCCAGCTCATAAACACGTATGGTCCGCGTGAGGGGAGATGCCTGAGCTGCTCCTAATTGCCTTCGTGTCGGTCCAGACGTCATACAGCGGTTCCCATTCCCCCTCCTCTCTCCCCCAGAAATGAAACGTGTTCAGACCATCTGAAAAAGAGTGCGTAAGAAATATTCTTTGGGTAAGGGAGCATTAAAAAGTAACTTTGATATATACTAATTACCAATTTCATTTAATAGCATATTGAACATTATAGCATTTATAAACAAAAGGCAATCATAAAGCATTATTCTGATTGTTAATTAGCTCTATTTATTCTCCAGATTAGGTTTAAATATGCCCTCTAGATGCCACTTGATACTAATTAACCGAGTTACATTATTATCTCTATAGAAAAGCATTTTTAATTAAATCTAAAGCAATTTAAATTAGCATGAGTTTTTACAGAAATTAAACTCTGGTCAGATGCTTAATTTAGCCTTATGAGACAACATCTGATGACATGCCAGTGTCAGTTCTCCCAAGGGCCTTGACGTCCTTTTTGGAGATTATTTTTTGAAGTTTGTTTTCAGGGAAACTTGCCAGTGTACTCTGGTGTTTAATATTTATGATGGATTTATAAATTTTTTTTTTAGGGCTAAATATTGATGGGAATCCACATGCGTTGCCGTGAGCTGAGATAAAAACAGAAGAGACGCGTTCCTGCAGCTTACAGGCTTTTGTGGGGTGGAGGGAGGGTTGTGTGGGAGGTGGGATTGCACGGGCTGGATGCTGTCCCGTTACACATCAGCCACGCTTTTTAACCACTCTTAGGATTACCATTTTGCTTTGCAAGAAGAATAGGATTGATCATAAAACCGCAAGGTCCCTTTTCTGTAATAGAAGAATACAGGGATTGCTCCCACTCTGGGTCCCTGGAAAACGTGCCTTTCACTTCGGCATTTCGACTACCATAGTATAAGCTCTTCTTCTTCCCACCAGCAGACCCTAACTAAAGTAGTTGTGTTTGGAGTGGGGTAGGATGCTTTTCATCTCCCTGCATAAAGACCGCAGGAGCTTCTCAGCAAGAGACCTGCGACCTACCCGCCATGCCCTGCAGTCCTCCCCGGCACCATGGCTGGCAGAACCGTACCTTGGATCTCGCCAGCCCCTTGAAATAATTAGCCGGTAGCTCTGGTTTTACTGTGTAGCTTTTTTCCACTGTAGCGTATTCCCCCGGGTGATGAACGGTGTGGGGCACACAGATGCTGGCCGCAGGTCAGACTTTCAGAAGCCTGAGTTTGGGAGCATGTTTTGTTCTACTTGCTCTGCAGGTGCCTGGGCATACACCTGAAAAGAGGAGTCAGCAGTTGAAATGTTACTGCAAATTTATTAATAAGTTTGATCCAATTAGTTTCAAGGCACATTTCTAGCATTTTATTTATGGGAGCTATGTATTATGGACTTTACAGGCTTTAGTCAAGGAACACTGACAAAATCAACACAGCCCAAGCTGA